TATGAAACTCATCAAATTAAAATTACAAGGTCTACAGTTGCCTATGGTCCTCCCACCTATCATGAAGCAACCTCCAGTGTTCTCTCCATTAATTTCTGCTCGCTTTGGTACATATGAATATTTAATACATTTTCTGATGTTGAGAGAGAGTCACCAAAAACAGAAACAAAAAATTATTGAGGTACATTCATATTTATATCTAACAGATGAGATCATTGCAGATTAGTGATTGAATTTGACTGTCCCCTCACTTGACTAAAGCAACAATGATTGCAAAAAGGATACCCTGTTCTAAGGAGCTTTGGAAAAAAAGGTTTCTCTGAACATATTGAAGAATTATCCTTTAATTTTGGATATTTAATTGCTTATTAACTGCCTGCAATGTAATTTTCACAAGAGTATTCAGTGAAGTCATTACCCTTTTGGCTTATAAGATGCATAAAATCTGTTTTTACATGTGACTTACAGGCTGTCCTCTTGACTTAGAATTATTTCCCCTTCTCCAGGATGCTAAATTCTGCTCTTCTACAATTATGCTTGAAAGCTAGAGCTAGACAAATATTTAAAATCTCTTAAGGAATAGTTTTATTTGAAACATTTTTGAAGTTAATCAGATGATTTAATTAATAGTACTCAATCTGTTTCAACATTAGCTGATGATTTACTCTCTCAGTGTATTCTGGGCTTCTGTGTGTGCATGGCACTGTATATTGTGAAGCATTTATAAACCAAGTAATGTCTGCTATACTACAAAATATATCCTATGCATCAAGGTGTGTATACATATTATAAAAGTGTATGTGTGTCTGTGTGTGTACGCGTGTGGATGTGTACATAAGTATTTTTAAATTAGCTAATTAGTCCTAAAGTATGTGGTTACATATCTTTACACAAATAATGACACTTGTAATTATGTTTCATTTACAACCATGTGATAAATTGCAGAGCCATGCAAAAATTAATTTATCACACATTGTTCACTACTTCATATAACAGCCATAGTGGATCACCCCAAAGATCCATCTAGTCCAATATCCTGTCTTCTGAAAATGGCCAATGCCAGATGCCCCAGAGGCAGTGAAAAGAACAGGCAGTTATCAAGTGATTCCTCTCCTATCGCCCATTTCCAGCCTCTGACATACAGAGGCTAGGGACACCATTCCTACCGCATCCTGGCTAATAAAGTCATTGTTGAGAGATCAACCAATACTTATCTAGTTCTTTTTTTAATCCTGTTAAAGTCCTGGTCTTCACAACATCCTCTGGCAAGAGTTCCACTGGTTGAATGTGCACTGTATGCAGCCAGCATTTTACCCATTGACCCATCTTCCTTAGTACTCAGTGCCCTGAGTAGCCAGAGTGGGTAGGATTGGTGTCCCTAGCGCCTCTTTGTCAGTGGCTAGAAATGGATGAGGGGAGAGGGATCACTAGATGATTGCCTGTTTCTGTTCACTCCCTCTGGGGCATTAGATGGACCTTTGGCTTGACTCAGTATGACCATTATTGTGCTCCAAAAGCTTCTTTTGGAGAAAGAAATCCATTAGCTAGAGACATTAATTTTTTTCACCAAATGTGATATTCTTCTCCAAGAATATTGTAGATAAAGGTTCAGGGCAAGCAGAATTCAGTCCTGCAACAGTGACAGCTTTTCTATTCATAAATTGTCACAACTTTAAAGTCCATTATTTTATTTCCCTGATGGGTTAGAAGTAAGAGGCTTATAGGGAAGTCATTATAGGGTGAATATTGGAAACATTAGCTAAGTATATTTTGAGCATATGTTGCTTTTTTCTTAATTTGTGCTTCTTTCTACATGCAGCATACTCTGTGCTTAGAAAGCTTGAATTAGAGCTGTTCAAAGTGTGGAGAAAAAAGATCTTACCATTGAATGTAAATGTACATTTTAGAGAATAGGCAAATCTGCACACAAGACTGTCTCCTACGTTTTGTTTGTATAGCATTTACCTCGCACCAGGAACCCGTTCTTAGTTGATGCCTCTGGATGATGATGCAGAATTAAATGCTTACTAATCGTTATTTAATTTTTCCTTCAGGAATGGGTAGTATGCCAAATCTGTCCATCCCACCATCTGTACCTACAATAGCACCTTTAGCTCCCATGTCATCATTGACCTCAGTGACTTCGATTCCTCCCTTGGTTATCTCTGCTCCCCTGATTCCTTCTGTCAGTACATCATCGTTGCCAAATGGAACATCCAGTCTCCTTCAGCCTTTACCTATGTCCTTCTCTTCAAGTAAGTACAGTTCAGTAATATACTCAGTTTTGGGCACAGAAATCTAATTCTGAGTTTAGATTATTTTTAGATTGGATAAACAGTTCTTATCTTTTTGTACCGAGAAAATCTACATTGTACTTAACATTCAAATTGTGTAAAGCAGATTGTAACTCATTATTAGTATAAAAATTTGACATCATTTAGTTGTGCTTCCCTCCAGCAAATCTAAGGCCTTTTCTATCAAATGATTAACAACTTCTAGCTATTTATTTTTCTTTTTTGTTTCAGCATTGCCTCATACTGGTTCTTTCAGTCCCATGGCAGGAGGGTTCGGTGGTACTAATATGCAAAAGGCACAGTCTCTGATCGATTTAGGATCTAGTAGGTATGAAACTTAAGACTTAAAATGTCATATATTAGACTTTAATAACAAATGCCTTTTTATAAAAATTACAATATAACAATTCATATTTATAAATAGAAAAATCAGGAGATATGTGAACTGCATAGATATGTATAGATATGATATTTTTGAACTGATTCAGATATAAGAGATAACTGCAGTGAGAGATTAATTTGAGTTTGGGTACAAACAGTTGAATAACATGAGCAGTAAATGTATTAAAAGTACTCAGAGTGGGATGGGATTTTTCAATTTTTTTTTTTTTTTTTTAATGGAGATTGCCTATCTCCTAGAACTGGAAGGGACCTTGAAAGATCATTGAATCCAGTCCCCTGCCTACACAGCAGGACCAAGTACCACCCTGATGAATTTTTGCCCCAAATGGTCTCTACAAGGATTGAACTCACAGCACTGGGTTTAGCAGGCTAATGCTCAAACCACTGAGCTATCCCTCCTCCCCAATTTGAAGAAGCACTGTCAAAAAGAATGAAATGGAGCAGTGTTAAAAAAACAAAAGCAAAACAGACAGTCCAGGAATTAGGTGTTAAGAAAATTATGTCAATATTGCAACATGCTCTTTTATGAGGAAGTTATGTCTAGAAGATTATCTATTGCAAACATTTATCTTTTAGGACATTTTGCAAGTGATGGAGATCATAAGTCTTTGTTATTGGGTTCCTTATTTGTTTGTGTCAAAAGCTTTTAAAATAAAAGTTTGGTCTCTAGGGCTGAGTCTTTATTATCTTTACCCCCCTAGAGTTCCTCACTCTTACAGATAGCAGATAGCTCCACTGGAATACTTGTGAAGAATGGGCTCCACACATCTCATGATATGTCTAACTCTATTCAGAGGAGGTTTATGCAATATAGTGGTTGAAAGGTTGAGAGTAAATCAACACTCTCACAATTGTTCTCTTCAATGACTCGGATCCTATGGTAGCAGCACTGCAAAACTTTAGGGGGGAAAAGTGTAGTTCAGCTGAGGCCATTTGGTTTAGGGTACTGATTGCAGTAACTTTGGAAATGCAGATGTTTCCTTTTGGGGATGAGTCAGTTCATTGTTTGAATTTTATCATACATTCATGGTTTTATTTTTGGATTTAATTTATGTCCTCACTTAAATTTGCTTCTTAGTCATTGTCCTTAGTTCTCAAACTACTGCTGGGAGCTTTTACGGGACTAAGGGTATGTTCACCCTGTTTGCCATAACTATTGGATTTTATGTCCTCATATTTTTTTAAATACTGCTCCATACAGTTTCTTAATATGTTATTTGTAGATATATTACTTGAATGTAATGTTTTCAGTATGCTAAACTTTTCATTTCAAATAAACATTGCTCTAAATAAAAATTCAGAGCTGCATGTAATAAGTATGATTACTCTGTTTTCATTGCATAGTAGAAATGAAAACCAGGGTTTTTAAATTATATAATATTTCTGCTATAGAGGGCAGAGACAGGATTGGAGCTTTTCTGTGTTAAGTGCTGAACAAACTAATGGGAGACAGCCCTGTTCCAGGGAGAATACCATCTAAAGCCTGATTATTAAATAATAGAATTTAGAATTTTGTATTTTTGTCTTTTTAACATCTATATTGCAGTTCAAATTCTTCCTCCACCACTTCACTAACTGGGAGTTCACCTAAGATTGGATCCTCAGACTGGGCAGTTCCTCAGGCTTCCAGATTAAAATACAGGCAGAAATTTAACAGTCTTGATAAAGGCATGAGTGGATATCTATCAGGTTAGTATAGTATTTGGAGTTGAAAAATATACCCGTGTTTTCTAATTATTAAACCATAAAAGCTTAATGGGTAAAATCCTATGAAGTTAATCTGAATCTTACAATTGACTTCAATTGATCCTGAATTTCGTTGTAAGTAACCGTATGTTTTCCTAATGTAAACTTTTGGCCTGAATCTCACTGAAACACAAAACTTCCTTATAAAAGTGTCACTAGATGAATAACTTCCTGTTTAGCTTTTATGTGTGTGTTAAATTCTAAGAGTTCTTATAGTGTATAAGTCAAGACAGTTTCACTTTACTAATCTGTAAATGGAAGTTTGGGAATGTCTCATAGGCCTGCATTACATTTGAACTTTGCTGGTTTCAGAGTTTGTGCTTCAGGTTCTCATAACCAGTTGGCCTTATCTTTGCTCCGCTCAGTCATTTGGAGATATTTTTCAAAACTTGCCGCGTCAACTAAAACATTTTTAACAACATTTAAGATGACACCAAGACCATCAGATATAGTGTTGCAAACCTAATCTTGTTCTTGAAGGCAATTTCATACAATTACCCAAGAGCAACATCCCTTTGACCCGAAAGGCTGTGGTTTTTTGTTTTTTGTTGTTTTTGCAGTTGGTGAGTGGTTGGGTAAGTATATCTGTTGGAGAGAATGAATAAATAGTTTTCTTTTTGACTTTAGCAGTCCTCCCTAAAAGTTTGAGAACATGCTACAGATTATATACTGTGGTTTAGATAGCTTTTAAACATCTTAATGGTACAGAAAAGATGTAACCTGTCGTTTAACCAAAAGCTCTTCTATATAGCAATTTTCAGTCTGATTCAGTTTTTGCTTCACCTTGCATTTGTGCCTCTGTTAATCAAGAATGAAAGCTATGCTACAGTCTTTGTTGTAAGGAAGAATACCCCTAACAAAGAAGAAAAAAGGCTGAAACTGTTTCTAGTAATGTACTAATTATCTTGCTCAATTGCGTTTTGTAGAGAGAGCTCAGTCTGTAAACATTTAGGTGAGACACAAGTTGAGTGCGATACCTCTTCTATTCAATCAGCTTTTACTGAAAGACACAAGCTTTTGAACTCTACAGGTCATCGTCAAATACAAGAAATTATCTCATCCATCTTCTCTCTTTCATATCCTGGACCAACATATCTACAGGGCTATGTTTCACTGGTCCATTTTGGCATTTTAAAAAGAAAGGGTGTGTGGGTCAATGCTACTACAAACTTCACTTGAAGTGCTTTAATTAAACCACTATTTTACATGTGTGCTGTGCTCCTTGTGTTGGCAGAGTGTATCCACACTAACAGGTCTTGTGTGGACACAGAGAGCAGTGCACTGTGGTAGTTACCACAGTGCAACTGACTGCAGGGTTGATTGGAAAGAGTTTAATAATATATGGAGATATACCTGTCTCAGAGAACTGGAAGGGACCTTGAGAGGTCATCAAGTCCAGTCCCCTGCCCTCACAGCAGGATCAAGTACTATCGCTGATGGATTTGCCCTAGATCCCTAAATGGCCCCCTCAAGGATTGAACTCACAACCTTGGATTTAGCAGGCCAGTGCTCAAACCACTGAACAATCTCCTCCCCCTTCACCCCATGTTTTTAATGTGGCAGGTACAGTGTCACATGATGCCAGCCACTTCTCAACTGAAGTAAGGATGTTAAAAGGTAGGTAGTTGACTAACTGTGTAGTCAGTACAACTTGTATCGACTACATGATTAGTTACTGCAGTTTAAATGTAATAGGAACCGGACGCACAGGCAGCCCGGCTCCTACTACATTTAAACTGGAGAGCCACAGCGGCCCTAGACCCAGAGTGAGCCGAAACTGCTCAGTCCCAGCTTGCACTGGGACCGGGAGCTACTCCCACTGTGGTGCTGCATTTTAAATGTAATAAGAGCCACCTGACTCTTACTGCATTTAAAATGCAGAGCTACAGCAGAGGTAGCTTCTGGACCCCCTGCAGACAGAGCCTCAGCAAGGATAGATCCCGGACCCTGCGCGGGATGTGGAGCAGCCTCTTTTGCCTACGGCGAGCCTCTTTTGCCCGTGGTGAGCCTGGGCCGGTCACAGGCAGAGATTGCTTTGTGGCAGCCTTCTCCCCTCCCCAGTTGCTGCCTCTAGGCAGCAGCACGGTGAAGGGCCGGGGGGGAAGATAGCATTGTGGAGACAGTGCTGGGGGGAATCAGCTTTTAAGCTGGCTTCTCCCAGCACCAGCTCCTGTTCCCTCCCCTGCTGCCTCTCATACAGATCCAGCAAGGGGGGAGAGGAGAGGGGCGAAATGCGAGTAGTTGACTCGACTACCTGATAAGTTTAGGCTTATCAGGTAGTCAACTATTTGACTAGTAACTTACATCCCTAAACTGAAGTGTGAGAGGGGTAGGGAACAGTGTGCGACAGGGAGTGTGTGTTGGGGGGGGAGACAGAACCTGTCTTGAGTGTTAAGAAAGTGTGCGAGTGATTGTGAGGGGGTGAATATAAATGTGAAATAACATGCATTAGGTAAGTGTGTCTCTTTAAAGTCCAATAGTAGCCTGAGCAACAATCCTGGGGGATGGGAGCACTCCATCCCCCATCAGCCCCAGGCTTTGCACAGCTCAGCAGTCTTCCTGCCCACACAGCAGCACCCACAGCCTGTCCTGCCTGCTTGCTGATTACACAGTAATGTGTCTGTGGTTCCTTGGAGTTCTCCCACCGCCTCTTCAGCTATCACAAGTAGCATCTACAACAGTTGTGTGATCTGTCTGTGCTGAGGAATGTCAGTGTTTCCCAGAGCTTTGAAAGGGGAGGGTCATATGCCTACAGGGTAGCATTCAAAACAGTGAGTGAGCAGTGGTCACACTGAGCATTGTGGGATACTGGGAGAGGTCAGTTATGTCAACATAATGAATGGCAACATTTACACTGATGCTTTGTCACTTCAGCTTTGCTACAAAAAGTTTTAGCCTCTCATCAGGGTGGTTTTATTTTGTTGCCAAAAGTAGCTCTGTAGTGCATCCACTTGCACTGTTTTGTCAGCAAAAGCTGCCTTTTGCCGACAAAACTGTGTACTATAAACAAGGCCTTAGTCTTCACACTGGATTATGGAAAAACAAGCAGTTCTTATTTCCGTAACACCTTCATTACATCACATTACTGAGCAATATAGAAGAGGGAGAAGGGTCCTAAAAAAGAATCAAACAGCTCAAGAAACTTACATTGGCTTTGGCAAGACTCAGTTTGGGCGTAAGGGTCTGCCTACTTGGAACACAGGTTTATGACCTAAATTTGCAGCTGTGGGTAACATTCACTTTAGGATTTTGAAAGACCAAAAGACAGAATTAACTGAATAACAAAAATATGCTACTTATTATTAGAGCCACTCTTTTGATTACCTACAGGTCAGTCAGTGTTGTGGGATGGTTAAGGAATAATCCCAGTATTTATATTTATATATCATTTAGCATGCCATCCTTCCTGGACAAAAGCAAGGGGGCTCAGACCTTACAAAGTTTGAGGTTTTACAAATCTTTCACAGTGCTTGGGTTCTACAGACTAGCTTGTTTTCTCACTTTTCCCCCCCACTGTAATTTAAAACAGTGTGCCCGGAGAGGTAGCCCTGTTCTCCCCATTCTTTTTGCAGATACAGGATTTCTTAGAGACTAACAAAACATGTAGATGGTATCAGAGCTTTCATGGGGACAACCCACTTCTTCAGATGAATGGAGTTATTAAAGGTCCAGTTTCTAAATAAAAAGAATGAGTAGTTCTGTGGCATCTTAAAGACTAACAGATTTATTTGGCATAAGATGAATCTGACAAAGTGGTTTTTACCCACAAACACTTATGAGCAAATACATCTGTTAGTCTTTAAGGTGCCACAGGACTCCTTGTTCGTTTTGTATATGTTTATGACATAACACACTGTGGGTTTGAAAATTTGAGCTAAGTGTTACACTTATGGGAAAGGAGGACTAAAGGCAGGGAGAAAAGAGAGAGTAGTGAAAACATGCAGTGAATTATTGTATGATGCTCAATTCATTCATTCATTTCAGCTATCATGGTAATAGCAGTGGTTCTGCAGGCATCCAAATATATTTAAAATAACTTCTCACAGGGTGGGGGATTTTAAGCACCTGTGAACAACAACTTTTGTCAAGTAAATGCAAGTGTAGACACAGCCTTCCTCTCCACTCTTTGTAAGGGACTTGGATCTAAAAGTGAAAAGTTCTAAGTGTTTTTTTCCTGTAGATTGAGGGTTTCTGCTCAGCAATCTATATAGTTCATTAGTAGAGGAAGGAAAATAGCCTCCCCACATTAACAGCGGTAAATGTTTGCAATTAGCTACATTCTATATATAGCTGTGAAGTTCACCATAAAATATTACAACTTAAAAAACAACACATTGTCTTGCAGCACCTTAGAGACTAACAAAACATGTAGATGGTATCATGAGCTTTTGTGGGCACAACCCACTTCTTCAGATGAATGGAGTTATTAAAGATCCAATTTCTAAATAAATAGGGCATGGCAGGGGTAGAAGGAAAAAGAAGGAAAAAAAGAAAGAAAGAAAATGTTACATTTGTGCTAGTTCATCTGTGGTGGGATTTACTGAATGAGAAATATTGGCTCAGGACACACAATATTTCTTTACACCATTTGTAATCATTATGACTGTGGTTTGTGGGTTTAAAAGTTAACAGAAGTAATGCAGTATACAAGCTACCAGCATTAATAAATCATCAACACAAACTGATGAAGTAAAAGTAAGAATAAATGTGGGTTGTCCCAATTTACAACATGTCATATAATATCCGTCTTTTGTTCAAAATAGATTTATATATGAAGATTCTTAATAGTTTAATTTCCTATTTTATTAAGGATTTCAAGCACGGAATGCCCTTCTGCAGTCAAATCTTTCTCAGACTCAGCTGGCTACCATTTGGTAAGTTTGCTCATTTTGATTGATAAGAGGCTTACATTGTTGTGGTAGGGAGTGTTACCTGTTCTCTGCCATCAAGAAGTGTTAAAGGAACAAGGTTCATTTAAAAACCATAGACTGTAAAACTCAGTAAAATGTATTTTCCTATTTTGCTAATATTTTATTACAAATTTACTATTTTAAAAGTTCAGTTTACTTTTCATTGTATTTATTATTTACAATATTTAAATCAGCAGACAGCCATGGCAAAGAGCTCGGACCCCAGCGGCAGCCAGGGAGCTCAGGACCAGCCCTGGCCGCGGAGCTCGGGCCCTAGCCACAGAGCCAAGCAGCTGTGGAACACTGCACCAGTTGTGCAGCTGTGGCCGTGGTGCTCCAGCCTCAGCAGCATTGGGGCCAGTGGCATCAAGAGAGCACTGAGGGGCTGGGGCGGCAGCAGGGGCAGGCTGGAGCCTAGCCTGGTGGCAGCACGGGCCATGTGGGGAGGGACCTTCTCTGCTCTGGCAAATCCCCTTATCCGAGACCAGTCAGGTCCTGCATGTTCTGGACCTGCAAGGTCTAATTTAGTTCTTTTTTTGAACTCTATTGCTGTCTTGGCCTTCACAACATCCCTTGGCAAAGAGTTAGCGGACCCCCTCCCAAGGGGAGACAGGGCTCATACGCCCAGAGGGGTCCACCAGCCTTATCTGCCCCGGGATAGGAACCCCTGGGGGGAAACTTGTGGGGAAACCTGACTGTCTGCCGCCAGTGGAGTCGCGTTGTATATCAAAGATGAGGTAGATTGTAAAGAAATAAAAAGTGATGGAATGGAGAAGACAGAGTCTGTCTGGGCAAAAATCACATTGGGGAAGAAAACTATCAGATCCTCCCCTGGGATAGTGCTTGGGGTGTGTTATAGACCACCAGGATCCAATTTGGACATGGATACAGACCTCTTTAATGTTTTTAATGAAGTAAATATTCATGGAAACTGCGTAATCATGGGAGATTTCAACTTTCCAGATATAGACTGGAGAACAAGTGCTAGTAATAATAATAGGGCTCAGATTTTCCTAGATGTGATAGCTGATGAATTCCTTCATCAAGTAGTTGCTGAACCAACAAGGGGGGATGCTATTTTAGATTTGGTTTTGGTGAGTAGCGAGGACCTAGTAGATGAAATGGTTGTAGGAGACAACCTTGGCTTGAGTGATCATGAGCTAATTCAGTTTAAATTTAAATGGAAGGATAAACAAAAATAAATCTGAGACTAGGGTTTTTTATTTTAAAAGAGCTAACTTTAGTAAATTAAGGAAATTCGTTAGGGAAGTTGATTGGACTGAAGAAATTATGGATCTTAAAGTGGAGGAGGCCTGGAATTATTTTAAGTTAAAGTTGCAGAAGCTGTCAGAAGCCTGTATCCCTAGAAAAGGGAAAAAATTTATAGGCAGGTGTGTTAGACCAAGCTGGATGAGCAAGCATCTCAGAGAGGTGATTAAGAAAAAGCAGAAAGCATATAAGGAGTGGAAAATGGGAGGGATCAGTAAAGAAAGCTACCTTATTGAGGTTAGAGCTTGTAGGGATAAAGTGAGAGAGGCTAAAAGTCAGGTAGAGTTGGACCTTGCAAAGGGAATTAAAACCAATAGTAAAAGGTTTTATAGCCATATAAATAGGAAAAAAAAAAGAAGAAATAGGACCGTTAATTACTAAGGATGGAGTGGAGGTTAAGGATAATCTAGGAATGGCCCAATATTTGAACAAATACTTTGCTTCAGTCTTTAATGAGGCTAATGAAGAGCTTAGGGATAATGGTAACTTAACAAATGGGACTAAAGATATGGAGGTAGATATTACCATATCCGAGGTAAAAGCCAAACTTGAACAGCTTACTGGGAGTAAATCGGGGGGCCCAGATAATCTTCATCCAAGAATATTAAAGGAATTTAAGTCCATTAGCAAAATTTTTTAATAAATCTCTAAACTCAGGGGTTGTACCATTGGAGTGGAGAATTGCTAATATAGTTCCGATTTTTAAGAAAAGGAAAAAAAGCATCCCGGGTAACTATAGGCCTGTTAGTTTGACATCTGTAGTATGTAAGATCCTGGAAAAAATTTTGAAGGAGAAAGTAGTTAGAGACATTGAGGCTAATGGCAATTGGGACAAATTACAACATGGTTTTACAAAAGGTAGATCGTGCCAAACCAACCTGATCTCCTTTTTTGAGAAAGTAACAGATTTTTTAGATAAAGGAAATGCAGTGGATCTAATCTACCTCGACTTTAGTAAGGCATTTGATACAGTACCACATGGGGAATTATTGGTTAAATTGGAAAAGATAGGGATTAATATGAAAGTTGAGAGGTGGATAAGCAACTGGTTAAAGGGGAGACTACAGTGGGTCATATTGAAAGGAGAACTGTCGGGTTGGAGGAAGGTTACTAGCGGAGTTCCTCAGGGATCAGTTTTGGGGCCAATTTTATTTAATCTTTTTATTGCTGATCTTGGCACCAAAAGTGGAAGTGTCCTAATAAAATTTGCGGATGACACAAAGTTGGGAGCTATTGCCAATTCAGAAAAGGATCGGGATATCATACAGGAAGATCTGGATGATCTTGTAAATTGGAGTGATAGCAATAGGATGAAATTTAATAGTGAGAAGTGTAAGGTTATGCATTTAGGGATTAATAACAAGAATTTTAGTTATAAGCTGGGGACACATCAGTTGGAAGTAACGGAGGAGGAGAAGGACCTCGGAGTCCTGGTTGATTATAGGATGACTATGAGCCGCCATTGTACATGGCCGTGAAAAGGCTAATACGGTCTTGGGATGTATTAGGCGAGGTATTTCCAGTAGAGATAAGGAGGTGTTAGTGTCATTATACAAGGCATTGGTGAGACCCCATTTGGAATACTGTGTGCAGTTCTGGTCTCCCATGTTTAAGAAGGATGAATTCAAACTGGAACAGGTACAAAGAAGGGCCACTAGGATGATCCGAGGAATGGAAAACCTGTCTTATGAAAGGAGACTCAAGGAGCTTGGCTTGTTTACTTTAACCAAAAGAAGGCTGAGGGGGGACATGATTGCACTTTTTAAATATATTAGAGGGATAAATACCAGGGAGGGAGAGGAATTATTTAAGTTTAATACCAATGTGGACACAAGAACAAATGGATATAAGCTGGCTAGTAGGAAGTTTAGACTTGAGATTAGACGAAGGTTTCTAACCATTCGAGGAGTGAGGTTCTGGAACGGCCTTCCAAGGGAAGTAGTGGGGGCAAAAGATCTATCTGGTTTCAAGATTAAACTAGATGGGTTTATGAAGGGGATGGTTTGATGAGATAACATGATCTTGGTAGCTAATTGACCATTCATTATCAGTGGGAAATAGGTTAATGGAGGGATGATAGGAGTTACTATAGAGAACTTTTTGGGTGTCTGGCTGATGAGTCTTGCCCACATGCTCAGGGTTTAGCTGATCGCCATATTTGGGGTCGGGAAGGAATTTTCCTCCAGGGTAGATTGGCAGAGGCCCTGGAGGTTTTTCGCCTTGCTCTGTAGCATGGGGTACAGATCACAGCTGGAGGATTCTCTGCATCTTGGGGTCTTCAAAGTATTTGAAGGCTTCAATATCTGAGATATAGGTGAGAGGATTATTCTAGGAGGGGTGGGTGAGATTTTGTGGCCTGCACTGTGCAGGGGGTCAGACTAGATGATCATAATGGTCCCTTCTGACCTTAAAGTCTATGAGTCTATGAGAAGCCACCTGGCTGCAGGAAGCGCTCCCAGAATCCGACCACTGGCTCGAGTTTCGGCAGGGGCAGGATGACCTTGTGCAGACTCAGCTCCTGGGCCTTGAACCAGAGGCACCACAGGGTGCATGGCTGCTGCAGTCATAGCTTCTCATCGGGTGTACAGGACACACATTTTAGTATGAGCCCTGATCTATACAGCCCCCCCGATCCTCATCTGCTCTGCATTGTAGGCCTGCGCTGAAGGTTCATGCTGTAAAAGGTCTAAAACATTTGTTGCTTAAATATTAAAAAGTTCAAAGCTGTTACAGAAAATAAGCTGCAGTTTGGTGTTACCTGTGTCAGGCCAGGCCTTGAAGATCACATGTTGTCACCTGCTCCACCAGGGGCTGGACCAGCAGTTCTTCTTCCAGTCCCTCGGCCATACTGAGAATGCAGTGCAGCGGCCATCCCACCATGTAGCCTGCCCTGCTGAGCCCCTTTCCTGGCTCTGCCCTGTTCTCTCCCCCCCTTCTCTCCCCTGAGTCTTGTGCCACTCACTGCGATCAGCAGCCACTTCAGGAAGCACAGCAGATTGAAGGTGCTGCCAGCCTTGGCTGCTCCTTAGGCACCGCTGCTCTTATGCTGCTGTCGCCCGGCCTGGCTGCCCTGCTTGAACTCCTGCACCGCTCAGCCCCTGGGTCTGCCAGGCCGCTGTGGGGGAAAAGCTAGGCCTGGGTAAATGCTTCCTGGCCACACCAGGGGCTTCGGTCAGAGGCCCCCAGTCCATGGCAAAGGGCCAGTGGACTCTGCTGGGCTGGGGCACAGGCTGAAACACAGCACCCAGTGGTAGCCAGGGAGCTCTGGCCCATCCCTCTGCTCTAGCCCTGATCACGGAGCTCCATCCTGTCCCTCCGCTCCAGCTCCGGCCACAGAGCTCAGTCCCAGCCACTGAGCTCCAGTCCCAGGACTCTCTGGTGGCATCACCACCACACACACTTCCCGCTGTTCAGGAGTCATGCACAGCACCATCACCTGAAGCAGCCTCTCACTACTTCCGTTATCTTGTCAAGGAAAGGGAGGGGGGACAGCAGCACATAGGCGCTTCTGGCTGCATTTTGAGCCCCGGGGCTTTCTGGGACATTTCACAGCTTTATGGGGACATTGGGACAGGAGATTCAAATTGGGGACCGCCCAAGACTTATGGTTGGCGTAATTATGGGCTGGAGCTTGCCTTTCAGCACTGCTGTGAATAAACTTCACCTTCCCGGAGGAATCCACAGAAACGTGGTGGATTATATTAGCATTAGACAAACTGCTTAGGCACTGTTCCCTCCCTGTTTCCCCTTTGTTCAGGAGGAAGTTATTTGCATCTTGTCTGCACTAGCAGCAGATAACACAGTGTCTCACAGCTGTGTGGTGCAATATGAGGGAGCTGTGAAACCTCCTCTTCGGTGTGAAGAATTAAGAGCTATAGCCCAGGTAGCATCTAAGTAGGTCCGTTAATCCTTTTCACAGGTAAATGCTCCAAATCACAATTTGTCCCAAAGTCAATAATTATTAGGGCTGTTGATTAATCACAGTTAACTCATGCAATTAACTAAAAAAACATCATTCACAATTAATCAGTTTTAATCACACTGTTAAACAGTAGAATACCAATGGAAATTTATTTAATATTTTTGATGTTTTCTACATTTTCAAGTGTACTAATTTAAATTACAATACAGTGCAAAGGGTACAGTGCTCACTTAATATTACTTTTATTACAAATATTTGCACTGTAAAATGATGAACAGAAGAAATAATATTTTTCAGTTAATCTCATTCAAAGTGCAATCTCTTTATTATGGAAGTGTTACATAACTGCACATGAAAAACAAAATAATGTAAAACTTTAAAGCCTTCAAGTCCACTCAGTTCTTCTTGATCTGCCAGTCCCTAAGACAAGCAAGCTTGCTTATGGAAGATAATGCTGTCTGCTTCTTATTTACAATGTCACCTGAAAGTGAGAACAGGCATTCTCATGGCACTTTTGTAGCAGGTCTTGCAAGTTATTTATTTTTAGCCAGATATACTAAACCAGGACCACTTAACTTTGGAAGTCCCGGAGGCCACGATAATACTTACAGCATGTGTCGAGGACCGCAACTTAAATGCGGTTGCATATACATGCAAATATATATGCAAATAGCTTATTTCACACTGATGGGCATGAATACAAAGATTAAGCCTTAAGCCACAATGCTGGACCCAGACATGGCCAATGTAAGCCAGTCAGCACCTCTCAGGCTCTGCCCACAAGGCTAAGCAGCTAGAACTTCCCACAATGCTCTGGCACTCCCGGCACCTCCTCCCTGGTGGCTAGAAATGCTGACACCCTGTACCCATCTGTTCCAGCCAACCCATCTGGTTGTGTCATTCAGTGCTCACTCCACCTGGGAGACGCCTCACTGTTGTGGAGTGTGTTTCCCAGCGGAGACCATGTTCAAAGGATCCCACCCATGGACCATGTGTTGAGCCCCACATAAACCAAAACTGTACTGCGGGCTGCAAACAAAGAGGCTGTGGGCCGCATGCAGCCTGCAGGCCGCATGTTGAGTAGCCCTGTGCTAAACATTCGTATGCCCCTTCATGTTTTGGCCACTATTCTAGAGGAAATACTTCTAAGCCAAAGACACTCATTAAAAATAATAATGTGTTCATTCAATTTGTGGCCGAACTTCTCAGGGGAGTATTGTATGTCTTCTGCTCTGTTTTACCTGCATTCTGCCATATATTTCACATTATACTGGTCTCAGATGGTGCCCCAGCACACGTCTTTCATTTTGAGAACACTTTCACTGCAGATTTGACAAAACTCAAAGAAGGTACAAAATGTAAGATTTCTAAAGATAGCTTCGGCTCTCAACATAAGGTTTAAGAATCTGGGGTACCTTCCAAAATCTGAGAGGGACTAGCAGGTGAGCATGCTTTCAGAAGTCTCAAAAGAGCAACACTCTGATATGGAAACTACAGAACTCAAACAACCAAAAAATAAAATCCACTTTCTGCTGGTGACTTCTGACTCAGATGATGAAAATGAACATGTGTCAGTCCGCACTGCTGTGGATTCTTTTTTAGAAGAACCCGTCATCAATATGGATGCATGTCCTCTGGAATGGGGATTGAAGCGTGAAGGGACATATGAATTTTTAGCACATCTGGCACATAAATACCTTGATGCTGGCTTCAGTAGTGCCATAGGACTAGTGCCATTCTCACAGGTGACACTATAAGCAAGAAACAGGAAGCATTAACTCCTGCAAATGTAAATTTGTTTGAGAAATTGGTTGAACAAAAAGTAGGAATAATTGAACTTACAGGCTCTAAAGAAGGGGTGGCCAACCCATTACAACAGACGAAGAGCCAAAATAGTGGTGGATACAGCACAATGAGCAGAGGGAAAAGTTGAGCCCCTCCCCCCAAAAAAAAGAGGGGGAGGGAGGTCAGCTGCGGCCCTTTTAAGAACAGAGTAGCCATTTGAAGGTGGCCATTTTGAAGTCTGCACCGGCATCCCGTGCAGACAGAAATATGCTGCCTCTTGAAGAGCCGAAGAGTGTGGGTGCGGGAGCCACAATTTTTTCTTTGAAGAGCCGTGGGTTGGCCACCCCTGCTCTAAAGTTTTACATTGTTTTATTTTGAATGCATTTTTGTACATAATTCTACATTTGTAAGTTCAACTTTAATGAAAAATAGATTTTACTACAGTGCTTATATCAGGTGAACTGAAAAATTCTATTTTTCTTTACAGTGCAAATATTTGTAATCAAAATAAATATAAAGTGAGCACTGTATACTTTGTATTCTGTTATAATTGAAATCAATATTTTTGAAAATGCAGAAAACATCCAAAAATAGTACTGCATTATTATTTAACAGTGTGATGAATAACAATTTTTTAATTGTGATTAATTTTTTAATCACTTAACATCCCTGGTATTAGGGAGAGAGCCATTTGTAACATTGCTCATAGGGGGAGCTGGTTAGTAACCAGAAAAAAAATCACCTTTTTATTAACTTCGTTTCTGACTTTTTGTTGGATTTACATTCTCCATTTCCTCATTAACACTTTGTGGCCAGCTCTGCAGGACTGGTTTTGTCTGCTCCATCACACATTTCTTTAATGGGAGGTCTTGGCTTGCATCTCTGAGGGTAGCTACTTGTTCCTTTCCTTCACTCCTCAGCAGTGTTTTATTTAGGAGAATGGCAACGAGACTAGTGTATATGCTGCATATACCCTTAAAGCAGGATTTGGAGATTAGGAGTACTTGATCCTGTACCTGCCAGTTGCATGGAGTGCTGGAGCAGCTTGCTCTTGCTCCACAGCATTATCAGCTGAATTGTCTGCTCTTGAGAGAGAATCCTACACGAGGGGTCAGAAGGAAAGAAGGAGCTTGGTATGAAGTTTCCTTTTCTAGTATCAGGGCATAAATCTGGATAATGCTTTGTATTCTGAGAAAGGAACAGTTGAAATAAAATGGATGCTGTGATCCTGAGGGTAGAATAGCTTGAGCATGATACAGGGTTCTGTTTCCAGTTCTGCTGTTCATTTGCCATGTCATCTTGTGCAAGTCACTTAGCCTTTTTTATCCCCATTTTCCCCACTTATTTACCTATTGTGTTGTGATGTCAACCTAATTAATGTTTGTGAAGTGTCTTTGCAATCATTTGACAAAATAAGCTGCATAAAAGCCGATTTTTATTACAACTGTAAAATAAAATAATAAAGTTTTCTTTTATCCAGTGTTGCTTTTATTAAAATGAGGGATTGAATACCACCAGTTCCACCTACAAGATGTATGCTTAAGAAATTGTTCTATAATAACTAATATCAGTTATCTCTTCCAAATTATTTTCAATCAAACAACACCATTCTCTTATTTTATTTAGGTCACTAGCTGACATTGACAGAGATGGACAGCTGAAAGCTGATGAGTTTGTGTTAGCCATGCATCTAACTGATATGGCCAAAGCTGGACAGCCTCTGCCATTGACCCTGCCTCCTGAATTAGTACCTCCTTCTTTCAGGTAGTACCCAAGACAAGGATACATGCTCTTAATGCAGAGTAAATGTAAAACATATAGAATAGTCTGCATTTAACTCACCCCCAAAATAACTTCTCCCCTAGAGCTGGAAAATATGCCGAAAATGTTAACGGAACTCTGCCATCTTACCAGCAAATGCAAGAAGAGGAGCCCCAGAAAAAACAGCCAGGTAAGAAAGATTTTGCGCTTACATTTAGAACATACAACTCTTCTTAGAGGAATGCTACATCTTTTTGAAAGTAATAGGGGGATAAGGAACTACAGCATAACTATTTCAGGAGATGCATAGAGGGAAGGTTGTCTTGATGCTGTCAGTTAAAGGCATTTAAGAAACATCTTGAATGTACAGGTGAGGGGCTGTATTTCACGTATAGGAAATATCAGACACATAAGTATTAATTAAAAGCTTCACAGGGGTAGCCAAGTTAGTCTGTAAATAGAAAAACTTTAAAAAACAATAAATAGTCTAGCAGCACCATAAAAACTAACAAACGTGTAGATGGTATCATGAGCTTTCGTGTACATAACCCACTATTTCAGATTTTTGTTTCATCTAATACCATGATGCCATCTACATGTTCTGTTAGTCTTTAAGGTGCTGCAAGACTATTCATTGTTTAAGTTTTTCCATTATTAGTAATGAAAGTCTTGCAAAGCCTTCTGGCTGAAACATTGGAACACCACTGCAAAATTCCGTGTAATTGAAAGTTACTGGTACTTGCCTTATCTCCATATTAGCTCAAGATTTTGAACCTAAGAGAGCTTGATTTTGCCACAGTATCTTCAAGCAACAGGTAGCTTACTGTGAGCCATAGTATCAGACTACACTCCTGCCTGACTGCTACTGCCAGGAGGGAGTAGTAGAGGCTCCCTCTTGGTGGCAGGGAATATGAAAGGCTTATTTCCATTTTGGGAGGAAACCCTAAATTATTCCACCCTATCACACTAGGGATGTGAAGGTTTAACCAGTGGGGCTGGATCAGCTCCCCGCCTACCCTGGACAGGGGGCTTCTCCAGTCCTGTGGGGGCCCACCCTAGGCAGGGACTGCTCCAGCACACTCCATAGAAGTTTCTGACCACCACAGGCCTGTGTGCTCCTCAGGCAGGGGTTGCTCTGGTGTCCCAGCTGGTGCAGCTCCTACCTGTGAAAAGGGAGTGGGGGGGACAGTCCAGCCAAGCTGTGGGCAGGTGGGGGATCTCTGCAGCTCACCCACTTGCCCCCCTTTAATTGGTTAACCAATTATATGGGATTTTATATCCCTGCTCCACACTTTAAAAAAAAATCCATATTGCAGTTATTGACAATGATTTTTAACAGTTTGGGTCTGAGAAAAATTAAAGGTAATCTCCCCTGTGTGCTAACACATGTTCTATACAGTGAAGAACTGTTTAAAAAGATGAGTTGTGCAACTGTGTCATTTTCCTATTCCGTGTCGGTATCCAAGAAAGGAGCCCCTCAATTAGTATGTAAAAAGTCTTTATAGCTATTAGTATTAAATTGTATTCTGCTTTAAAACAACCAGTCCTACTGAGCCTCTTGTTGTTGTTGTTGTTGTTATGGAAGGTCAATAAGTTTTACCACAGAACATTTCTTTTTGCTGTCAAAAGTTATGAAATTTGTTGTGATGCCAAGCTGTGAAAATGGTAAAAATGTCTATGTTGTGAAAGGAAGATTGATACTTTAACACTGCTCAGTTTAAGGTGCTTAAATTATCCATGGTGCAATGTTCTCATCTAACCAATAAGAAAACATGCTAGTCATTGGCATTGTAAGAGAGGACCAGACTTTAGATTATTGTTCTATGTAAAATAATGCTAACTGCTGTCCCTTATTTTAGTAACATTTGAGGACAAGAGGAAAGCAAACTATGAGAAAGGAAACATGGAACTGGAGAAACGGCGTCAAGTCCTACTGGAGCAGCAGCAGAGAGAGGCGGAACGTAAGGCTCAGAAAGAAAGAGAAGAACAGGAGCGAAGAGAGAGGGAGCTGCAGGAGCAAGAGCGGAAAAAGCAGCTTGAACTGGAAAGGCAATTGGAGAAACAACGAGAGCTGGAAAGATATAGGGAAGAAGAGAAGAGAAAAGAAATAGAAAGACGGGAGGTTGTTTTCTTAATTTTATTTACTTTTAATACTTAAAGTAGTACACATCCACACTCAGTGAACACAGTTAGTAAAGCTATTTGCTTGTCCACTTGGGAACTTGTGCTACCACTAGACAGACAGGCTTGATTTAGTTGTTTGAGCATAGGATTAAGAGCCAGGCCTTTACTGAATCTAGGCTTGGGCAATGATCCTTGTGTGATCATTGCAAGTCATTTTGGAGTCACTGTCTGAAATGTTGTTCCTACTGTTGTTGCACATAACCCCTAACGTTGCTAAAACTCAGGTTCTCCATCGAGTGGTGTTCCAGTGGTTGCTCCACTCAGGTCTTGGTGCATCCTCATGCTGCTGATTGGAGATTTTTGCTCACCAGTGCCCCTTGTTTCGCATCTGAGAACTCTGTGTCTCATGCTGCTGCTGTTCATTAGGTGTGCGTGCGGCATGAGCCTCCTTCCAGTTCCTTTTCTCCTGTCCTCGCAGTCAGAACAGTGCTCTCCTTTTCTGACAGGAAACAAATAGCATAGTTAGTTTAGTAATAGTTCATAGTTTTCAACGTTTACTTAAAAAAAAAAAAAAAAAAAAAGCTGCCACGTGGCTTTTTTCCCCTTCTCTACATGCTGGACTCTCCCAGCTTTGAGAAATGTGACTCATGCTAGGACTCCATGCCTATTTCGGGTGGACACATGTCCTGCATTAAATGTCTTGGAGAAACTCATGCAGCACGTAAGTGCCCACATTGCCTAAATATGACAGCAAGAACCAGAAAAGACTGCGAAATGTGGCTCAAAAACCTCCTCTGAGAGAAATCCCTACAATAATTGGGAGATAAGTCTGAGGAGACACGGGGACAGCAAAAGTCTGTTTACGGGGTGGTGAGCCAGCCCTGTTGAGGCTCTCAAGTTTTGCAGGCTTGCCTGACACACTCACTGCCTGCACTGCCCCAAGCCTCCCATTCTCTGGTGCTGTCAGTCTCTGGCTCCACAGAGAAATGCAAGACCACATCAACCAGGAGAACTGAGTCAAAACCACTTGACACCCGCCAGTGCTGTTAATGCAACGGTGCCAACAAAGCCTCATATGCCACCACCGCCAACTCCCTCAGGCACCTCTGCACTTCCTGAACAAACTGTCTCTGGGCAGCCCGAACCTAAATGCTCCCCAGTACTGGAGCATAAGAAAATGTCATAAAAGACACATCACTTACAAAAATTCCTCACAGCCAGGTACGCCACTGATACAAGGAGCCTATTCACCACGTTCCCTGGTGTTGTCTCTTGCCAACTTGCACAGGCACATGGCAGAAAGGGTTCCCCACTCTCCTATGCTGCTGTCTCCATGAACTGACCACGGTAATGGGCAGCGAAGCAGATTCTCATCATGCCATTCATCCCCATTAGGATCAGTGGCTTCCTGGCATTCATATCGAGATCATTCTCTACAACAACCACTACACTTTCTGTGGCTTAACCAACCGTGAATGTATCCTCCACAACACTTTCAGCCTCATAGTGGCCTCCTTGGGAACCATGGCATGGGTATCGAGTACGTTCTTCCCATACCTACTGCACAAGGGATGCATCCCCTGCATTGCCACAACACATGGTTACATGCTCCCCAGCTACATCCGTGCATTTGTCGCCGTCTCACCCACCCTCAGTGATAACACTGAGTGACTCAAATGACAATAACATCTTACTCGGATTCGGAGAGCTCCTCGACTGTTCCCAGATTCACCAGATCAGATGAGGCAGTTTTCCAGGTATCACCCTCTCCTCCAGCAGATGACCTAAAACAATTCCAGGAATTATTTAAACAAGTGGATCAGTCACAGGACATTACACTCCAAGAGGTACAAAACAAACAATACAAGTTACTCATGCTACTGCAACCAGCGGCATCCTCAAAGATAGCCTTACCTATTAATGAAGCTAGCTTGGACTTCTCAGAGGTGCTTTGGCAAACTCCAGCCTCTATCCACCCAATCTATCACAGGGCAGATAGAAAATATTTCATCCCAGTAAAAGGCATGGACTTCCTCTTCTCACATCCCCTAACCAAATTCACTAGTTGTAGACTTGGTTAATCTCAAGTCCAAACACCCACAATTTAAGTCTACACCTCGGGACAAGGAACATAAATAGCTAGATATCTTTGGCCGCAAAGTATACTCTTCCGCCACCCTCCAATTTAGGATATTGAATTACATAGCACTCCTGGCTAACTAGGATCATGCCAACTACACTAGACTGCAGGATCTGGTACGGCATCTTCCTGAGAATAAGAGACCATTATCAAGAAGGGCCTATCCATAGGAAAAACTGCCCTCCAGACCACAATGGATGTGGAGGACACAGCAGCTAGGGCCACAGCTACAGCAACAGTAATGCGTAGAACAGTGTTTCTTAAACTGTGTTCCGTGGCACACCCAGTCGGAGGTGTGCCACGGAGAACAACAGAATTCAAAATGGCCATCTTTAAAGGGTCAGGCGACTTTTTTGGGGGGAGGGGGGATTCAAAAAAAGCCACACACG